AAATGATATATAAATTTTTTTTTCCAATCCAAAGCATTATTATTATTTTTTTTTACCTAGATCCAAAGAATTATTTTTACCACTTTATAAACATCCTTTTTTTTTATAAGATGGATTGAATATGTTTTGAATTATTTTTTTCATATTTTACCACTTTATAAACTTCCTTGTTTATAAATATTGATTGTAGTTTTAATTTGAATATTTTTTTTCAATTTTCCTATAAAAGCTTGATTGTAATCTTCAATTGGAATAATGTATTGCAATAAGGGTATGGGACACGAATTTTAAAAAGAGATGAGAGATAGAGAAAAATAAAGATTAATACTCATATGATGAGGAGAGAAAAAGAGAGAAAACATGTACAAATAAGGAATTGTTGCAATGTTTTTGAAACTTTCAAAAATAGTAATTGTTGAAATATTTGATGAGGAAGTATTATTTGACTTGAAGAAGTATTATGGGTAATACTAAAGATGGACACACCAACTTTTTACTCCTCCCTCTGACCTTTGCTTATAAAATAGGAAAATTTGTCAAGAATAACATGACCTTTCAGCGGTCTTCTAAAAATGGAACGATCTTTTGATTATCTCAAAATAATACGACCTTTGACCCAAATCTTCCGTAAATGGAACGTGAATTGTTGTTAACCTTTTTAATAGGATACCTGCGACATGTATTATAATGTCATTGGTCAATTTTTTTAACAATTTTAATTAAAAAAAAAACCCTTAGCATCCGGCCTCTCATCCCCTCCTTGTCCTCGTTTTTGGCCATCCTCCCTGCCTCAATTCCAGCCCCATCCCCCCCTCCAGCCTCGAAAAGCACCTAGCAGCCCCCGAAACCCACCCCATAGGCACCTGCTGAAACCTACCTCATAGCCACCTCCTTACACCCACAAACCACTCCCAAAACGCCTCTTATCCATTTTGCCCACCCCAAAACACACCCCCCTCCCCGAAACGCGCCCCCTCCGTTGGTTTAGGGTTGAAAAGAGGGTTTGGGATGGGCTAGTTTGGGGGGTATTCACGATTGCCGACAAGGGGTCTAATCGAGAGGGGTGGCGGGAAGAGGGTGGCGGCGACTTGACGCTAAAGGGGGAGGGTGTGGCCGGCAACTTGACAGTAGCGTGAAGGGGATAGGGTTAGAGAGGTGAGACGTGGTGGTGGGGTTCAGGTGGTCGGGAAAGCGGAAAGGAGGAGGGAGAAAAGGTTTTGTTTTTTATTTTTTTAAGACTTTTTTTAAAATAAAGTAATTAAAAAAGAACAATATCTTCTAACAAATAACAATGCGACACGTGTCCAGTTTTTAACCTTTTAAATAGTGTTTGGGGTCCAAATAACTTATATATTTGGGCCCATTCCATAAATGAAAATAAACAAAGTCCAAAGGAAAGGTCCAACCCTCCTACATATGCCAAGTCAAGTCAACAAAACCCAGCCAAATGGCAGCCCATTTGACTCCTCAAGCCCACTCCATTCAATTGGAGCAAGGTATAAAAGCTCATGCTCATACACATTTACATTCATTCACTCATATTGCCTCAAGCAACAAACACTCTTGCATAGCTATTCTCTCATCATTTTGCACACGTACTGACTTCGGCATCGGAAGGGCCTTCCTCGGCACAACCCCCGAGGCCAGTTTACGTTTGTTTAACTATGCAGGAAATCCTCAATTCGATCATCACTCGAATTAGGCTTCATCTCCACTCATCCAAAGGACCTGCTAAAGGTCCCATTGTTTTTACCAAAACAATTTGGCCCCGTCTGTGGGATACTTACAAAAATTCAGCCAAAAATCTCATACCAATCTTATCCAACGCAGAAAATGACTAAGAGTGGCAAAAACTCCAAAAAAGGGAAAAAGATGGGCCTAATAACGGTGAGGACTGGTAGGACATCCTCACCGTCGCGTTAACCATCTGCCTTTAACTCTCCGATGAGAGAGAATCTGGACGAGGGATCTTCCCCTTGACGAATTCACTAAACTGGGAACTCCCCGAGAGGGAGCGACGCTCATGAAGATAGCCTTCCGCGGAGTATGCATTCAACTCCTCCCACCGTTCCTTCAACTGAAGAGGTGGCGAGGGTCGTGGCTGTCTGCATGAAATTCATGAAAGCCTTGGGTGGACGCCTCCCATCCGTGCATACTACTCCTTCTTCACCCCCACCGAAGCCGAAAAGCCGGAAAAGGAATCTGGCCTCGGGAGGGGAAGGACGAATTCCACTCTCCAAGGGGAGGGGAAACGAAGGAGCTGAAAGCTTGGCCGAGACAGGACGGGAACGACAAGGGGAATCCGATCACTTTGAAAATTCCCCAGTCCGAAACTCAAAGGACGTCCCAAGCAGCCACAACGCTTCTCGCCTGAGCGTTTACAAGCGCCTAGGGGAAAGGGAGAAGGACATTCATAGCCGTCTCACCTATCCTGAAGGCTCTAGCCCAAAACTTTCATGCGGAGGGACAACCCTCACTTCCACCTCTCTAAGAGGGAAGAGTGAGGTTCCTTCGGAAAGACAGAAGGGAAAGGCCGTGATGGTTCCTACCAGTTCACCTTTCCAAAGGTGGATATTAGAGGAACACGTGCCGACGGTCAAAATTCTGGCACACATCACTTACGATGGTACTTCGGATCCGAAAGACCACATAGCCTCTTACGAGGGGCATATGTACCTTAACCCCAAGTCCGAAGCTACCTAGTGCAAATACTTCCCTACAACCCTAAAAGGTGTTGCCCAGTCATGGATCACCAAGGGGTTGAAAGAAGGCTCAATAACAGGTTAGAACGATCTCTCCAACAAATTCAAAAGCAAGTTTTCCACGGCTAACCGCCGAGAGAAAACAACAGCAGAGCTTATGAGTCTGCAACAAACGGAGGACGAAAGTCTTCGAGATTACTTGACTCGCTTCAGCAACGAGTCGTCCAGAATCACAAGTCTGGACCAAAGTCTAGCCGTATTCGCACTATGGAACGGCTTACAAGCTGGAAAGTTTCTGGATTTTATGGTCATGCACCCTCCGCAGACCTTGGAAAAGGCCCTCGACGCCTCGGATAAATTCATCCGAGCCGAGGAATGGAACAAGGAAAAGTCGCAGTCTCAATTAAGGGATGTGAAGCTAAAAGGCCAACCAGCCAAAGTTCCAGGGTCGAGGAAAGGGAAGGCAAAAGCCTCAGAACCTCCCTCGACCATCGAGCCCAAGAAGGACAAGGCCCCTTATCTGGGAAAGTTCGAATCTTACTCCCCTCTCACCTTACCGCGTACTAAGATCTTTAGTACGACAAGGGAGGAGGGAAGATTCAAAAAACCGAAGCCACCTCCCTCTTGGCATCAAAAGAAAGGGAAGGATCTTTAGTGCGAGTTTCATGAATCCCGTGGACATCGCACTGTGAACTGCCTTCAGCTGAAGGACCAGATTGAAGAGCTGGTCAAAAAAGGGTACTTGAAGAAGTACGTCGCAGAGCGCCGCGAAGAAAAGAAAGCTGAGAGAGATTCTCGGCAGGATTTAGATTACCACCGGAAAAGGGACAAACCCCCTGAGGGAGGAAATCACGACATCCTAACTATTTCCGGAGGGATTTCTCGGAATGCGCTGAAGCGCCATCTGAGGGGGTTGACCTATCAGATTCATCACGCCGAATTCCGAAAGCTGCAGTCTTCGGTGCCGAACATGATGTTCACATCCGAAGACTGCAGGGGGGTGGTGTACCCCCATGATGACCCTTTGGTTATCATGACGAGCATCGCAAACCACAACGTCTATCGGACACTGGTAGATGGTGGCAGCGGGGCGAATATACTTTTCCGAAAGGCATTCGACCAGCTGAAATTGGAGAGTTGGCACCTAACTCCAGTTCCTTACCCGGTGACTAGATTCAACGGCTCTTCTTCATATCCAGATGGGAAAATTCTTCTTCCTGTTACCCTCGGCCAAGACCGAGAAAGGCGGAGCATCATGGCTGAATTCTTGGTCATTGATGCCCCATCAGTATACAACGTCATTATGGGAGTTGTCTCGACGTTCCATCAAGGAATGATCTACGTTTCAGACGAAGGACGCTCTGAAAACATCTTGGGCAGCCAAAGGGAGGCCCGAGAATGCAATTTCCTCAAACCATCCAAAAGTCGCCGCAATGACAAGGATGATGAGGAAGAAAAAAAGAAAGAAAAGGAGCGGGGTACCAAAAGACCAAAGGGCCAAAGTGCTTCGGCTCAGGGATCCCCATCCAAAAGAACATCTTTGGGGACTAGAAAGGCTAATTCTTCGGCTGGGCCGAAAGATTTAGAAGAAGATCAACCGAAGCAAAGGAGGTCTGCTGATATTGACAGTAGGCCCGAACCAGAAGAGCCTGGCTCCAAGGCAATGGAGTCAAATGAACAAACTAAATCAATACCGATAACCGAATGAGATACCGAAAAATGTGTCAACATCAGACAAGGGCTCGATCCGAGCTTCCGGGTTGAATTAATCCAACTCTTTCGGAACAATCGAGATGTGTTCGCATTCTCAGCACCTGACATGCCCGGGATTGATCCGAACCTCATCTCTCACAAGCTTAAGCAAAAGAAGCGGAATTACTCTGCTCAAAAAAACCAAGACATCGCAGCCGAAGTCAAGAAACTTCTACGCGGGGTTCATCGAACCTTGCCAATATCCGGAATGGCTAGCTAATGTGGTGATGGTTCAGAAGGCAAATGGCACTTGCAGAATGTGCGTTGATTTCACGGACCTAAATAGGGCGTGTCTGAAAGACTTCTATCCCTTGCCGAGAATCGATTAACTAGTCGATTCAACAAGTGGCCACGCTCTGCTTAGTTTCATGGACGCATTTCCTGGGTACCATCAGATCTTCATGCACCCCGATGACAGAGCAAAAACGACATTCGTTACAAGTGTCGGGGTGTACAACTACAAGATGATGCCCTTCGGCTTGAAAAACGCCGGAGCGACATATCAGAGGTTGGTGGACCAGGTGTTCGCCGAACAAAAAGGGTAACATGGAAATCTATGTTGACGATTCCATCGTCAAGAGCAAAGAGGCGAAAGACCATGTTGAGGACCTAGCCGAAACGTTCGCCACTTTGAGAAAGCATCAGATGAAGCTTAATCCGAAGAAATATGTCTTCTGCGTGAAGTCCGAAAAATTCCTTAGCTTCATGGTCAGAAAAAGGGGGATTGATGCAAATCCCTCCAAGGTACAAGTAGCTCTTGACCTTCCCGAGCCGAAGACAAAAAGGGATGTTCAACGTCTTTACGGGAAGGATGGCTGCCCTGTCCAGGTTCATCTCAAAAGCCTCGGATAAAGGGCTACCCTTCTTCAAGGCGCTCAAACTACCAAAATCTAAGGAGCTCATATGGGAAGAAGAGCAGAAGATAGCCTTTCAGCAGCTTCGGGAGCACTTAGCTCATCTCCCAACGCTGGCAAGACCAGCTGAAGGGGAAATCCTGTACTTGTTCGTGGTTGTTAGCCCCACCACAGTAAGTACAGTGCTGCTGAGGGAAGAAGAAAGGGTTCAGCAACCGATCTACTTCGTCAGTCACACTTTGACCGACGCCGAAACGCGCTACCCCTTGCTCGAGAAAGTTGCATATGCAATGGTGGTAGCAGCTCGGAAGTTAAGACCCTACTTCGACTCTCATCAAATAGTGGTCTAGACAGATTAACCACTGGAAAAATTCCTTGGCAAGGTCAAAAAATCAAGTAGACTAGCAAAGTGGGCTTTCGAGCTCACCGAGTTCAGCATCAACTACCAGCCAAGGACAACTATTAAGGCCCAAGCCTTAGCAGATTTCCTAGCCGAATGCTCCTATCAGGAAACACTCGACGAGGGAAAGAAGATCTGGACTGTTTTCACGGATGGCTCAACCACCGTGAATGGTTCGGGGGCAGGGGTAGTGATCACCTCTCCCGAAGGAAAAAACTTCGAGTATGCACTAAAATTCTCATTCAAGGTCTCCAACAACGAAGTCGAATATGAAGCAGCAATTGCTGGCTTAGAGTTGTGCATAGTCCTCAAAGCCGAACTTGTCTGTTTAAAGGCAGACTCTCAGCTAGTCGCCAATCAGATCTGAGGCGAGTATGAGGCTATAGAGCCCTCCATGATCTCCTATCTCGCCAAAATAAAAAAACGTTATGGCGAAGCTGAGAACTTTTGAAATTGAGCTAATCCCAAGGGGTCAAAATGCTCAAGCCGATGCACTTTCTAAACTTGCAAGTTCATCTCTCACGGAGTTGAACTGATCTGTATATATGTGGAAGTGCGCCGAAACATAATCATCGACCAAGAATCTGAGGTCCTATGTGTCGAGGCTACACCAAGCTGGATGAACGCCATCCTCGCTTATAAGCTTCGGGGAGAACTTCCCGAAGACGAAATCTTGGCCGCAAAATTGAAAAGAAACAGCTCAAGGTTCATCGTCCATAATGGGGAACTCCTGAAGAAATCCTTCTCAGCCCCACTGCTGAAATGTGTGGGTCTGACAGATTCAGATTATATACTTCAGGAGATTCACTTCGGCATCTGCGGAAACCACATAGAGGGAAGGACCCTAGCCCACAAAGCATTAAGGGCAGGGTACTATTGGCCAACCATTATCTTGGACGCCAAGGAGCTGGTGAGAAAATGTGAAAAATGCCAAAAATTCGCACCGGTCATCCATCGGCCGTCACGAGACCTTCAACCAATCCTAAGTCCACTTCCCTTTGCTCAATGGGGATTGGATATTTGGGGACCTTTTCCTGAAGCTCCTTACCAAAAAAAAGTGGTTGATAGTCGACATTGGTTATTTCAGCAAATGGATTGAGGCCGAAGCAGCTTCAAACATAACCAAGCAAACTGTCAGGAAATTTATCTGGCAGAATATCATCACTTGCTTCAGCATCCCAAAGGTATTTGTCTTCGATCATGGAAGGCAGTTTGATAATCTGCCACTGAAGTGGTACACTGATCAGTTCGGAATAAAATTAGCATGTTCGGCAGTCTGTCATCCTCAAAGTAATGGTCAAGCCGAAGCCACAAATAAGAAAATAATCAACGCTCTCAAAAAGAGAGTTGAGGACCAGAAGTCCAAGTGGATAGAGGAACTTCCCGAAACTCTGTGGTCACTTCGGACAACCGAGAAAGAGGCAACGGGGCATTCACCTTTTGAATTAGTGTATGGATCCGAGGCTGTTTTACTGGTGGAAATTGGTTCTGAAAGTCTTCGAGTCAACCAGTTCTCAGCCGAAGAAAATGAGCGTCTCATGAAAGAGTCCCTTGATTTCCTAGACGAAATCCAAGATTCGGCCAGAGACAGAATGGCAGCATACAAACAAAGAATCAGCAAGTTATATAACCGAAGAGTCCAAGCAAGGCTTCTCAAAGTCGGGGACCTTGTTCTTCGGAATGCTACTGTTGTCCAGAAAGGCCGCGTCCACGGAAAGCTTTCGGCAAACTGGGAAGGGGCTTATGAGATATATGATGAGCTCCAACCAGGAACTTATCGACTTCGGCAATTAGATGGAACTGAGTTGAAAAACCACTGGAATGCTGATGTACTTAAAAGATATCATGTGTAAAACCTGTTGTGGGAGAACAATCTATGTAAGTACATTTTCTTCAATCAATGAAAGGCCATTGAGCCACTATTAGTCGTAATTTCATTGTGTCTTCATTATTTTTGTCTTCATCGTTTTTGAAAAATTCAAGGTTTACACCCGGCACTGTCTGAAGTATTGCATAGTGATGCATTGTACTTCGGTGAGCCGAAGAACCTGCCGAAATAGGGGTAACGAATAAAACCTCGAGGTATTGCATAATGATGCACTGTACCTCGGACGGATTTGTTACTCTCGGCAAAGAGGTCATAGGCTCATCTAAGGCATAGCCGAAAATAGGGATTGGTAAGATGCCTGAAGCATTGCATAATGATTCCCTGTGCTTCAGCAAGTCAATTCCGGGTGATGATTACACCTCTGAAGTATTTCACAATGATGCCTTGTACTTAGGAAAATCATCGCCCTGGCACTGTGTCCCAGATAGTCGTTCCCTCGGATGAATTAAAACCAGGCAGCAAATAAGAAGCAAACATTAGTGTTCAAACTATTAAGTCACAAAAATGTTGCTAAGTCAAAACCTTCGGCTATGCCAAAAGAATGAAAGCAATAAACTCAGACCTATGAAGACCTTATCTTCAAAGTTCTGGGGGATGAAAGAGATACTCACATATCAAGCTCCAAGCCGAAGTTCAATACTTGGGGAATTTCAAAAAACCCGAGCAAAATGGGCAAGGCAAAAAGGAAGGAGGAAGAAAAATTCTCGGATAAATATTTTCATGCCGAAGCTTTATACTTAGCCAAATTTTGAGGAAATTCAGAAAAAACAACTAAGTTCAAAGATACTCAAACAGGCAAAACGAGAAGAAAGAGCTGAAATTCTACTTCATCGTTTAGAAAAGTTAGAACCACAAATATCAAGTTCAGAATGTTAAACAGAAATTCAAAGTCGGCAGCCGCCCACAAAGCGGAAACACAGCTGCCAAAAGTACACAAAAACAAGTTAAATAGTTTGTACATAAGGCAGGCTAAAACAAAAACTAAAAGCATAAAGCAGAAGCGCAGGTCTTCAGATTAAGCACAAGTAGATCCGCAGGACTCAGAAGACGGTTGCCTGAATTCCCAGGCTTCAGCATCATCCTGGGCACCAGAAGGACTAACATCTGCTGAAGAAGAAGAAGGACAAATAGTGTCCACTTCATTAGCAGCCTTCTCAGCCTCCCTGGCATCAGCTTTGGCTTGGCGAATCAGGAAGTCAATTTCAGCCTAACTAGCCTCGTTGATGCGAGGGTTGTTAGAATCCATTGACCAGGCTTCAACCTAATCCCAATTGAGGTCCGGAGCAGCATGCAGGGCTAAGCGACGAGCTGATTTCCAGCCATTCTCGAACCCTTTGGCATATTCTTCCTCTGTGTAAATACAGATCTCGAGAAGCTTCTTCGCATCATCAAGCTCAGACTTCTGAGCCTCCAAAGCTTCCTTCAGCATTTGATTGGCAGCTACCAAGTCACTCTGCTTCTTCTCAGCCTCTTCCCGAACCTGAGCAAGCTGGCTCTCGTGATCAGAAATCAGAAGCCGTCAAGACTCAGCATACTCCTTCAGATTCGCCTCGATACAGGCCTTGAATTCAGCAATGGTTTCGGCCCCGTACTCCTAGATGAGGGCATGACCCTCCTCCAGCCAAGGAAAGATGGTTTTCTCCAAATTTTGGCAGACTGAGAGGAAGTTAGCGCTCATGTCCTGCATGTTCAGTCTCATCCCAAATGCCTCCTCTTCGGCCCTAACTTGCTTCAGTTCAGCAAGTTGAGCTCGGGCTTCAGCCGCTTCTGCCTTATCTGCTTTGCTCTAAAGCTCGTCATACATTTCCACAGTAAGGAAATGATTGTGCACAGCCTGCAAGACAACAATTGCAGTTTAGCAGCTAGCCGAAGTCCAACACTTAGAAAAATATTCTCAAAAATAAAGTAAAGCAGAGAAAAGAGATAAGGGTTGGAAGGCTACCTGCATCAACACCTTCTGATTCTCCAGAAAGGGGTTTGGTTCCTTCTCCAAGGACTCAGCGGCACCCAGCGTCCAGGCTCTGGCCCTCTCCAAAGCCGAAAGATTGCTCAGGTTTCCGAAGTAGGAAAGAGCCGAGTCATGCCTATCTTCAAAAATCGCACGAGCGTGCGCTGGAATGGGGACCAGGGGCGCTGAACCAAAGCCCATCTCTGCAGACTGAAAGGTTCGGAACGAGTCTGCAGCTGAAGTAGAGGGAGCCTCCTTACTTTTTGGCTCTTCAACATCAGTCACCCGAGGCTCTCCCTCAGCTTCAGCAAGGCTGGTGTCCCCAACATGGACGCCCAACACATCCACCTCATGCCAAACCTGCTCCAAAAACGGTTTGGCAACATGACGAAGAGGTGAAGAACCAGTCTGCGACTCAACGACCTCAACATTAACTTCCCGAGACGGGGAAGTGACTTCTATGGTCTACTCTTCTTGGACCTCCTCAAGCCGAGGCCTCTTCACAGGTAATTCTGGTGCTTTAAACTGCCCGGGACAAACTAAGGGCCTCCTTCTCCCGCCTGCCATTGATTCTTCAGCAGTAGATTCGGGGGCAGGAAAAGTCTCAGCTGGATCTTCTCTGTCCACTTCTTCTCCGTTAGACTGCAGTAGAGGAGACAAAGGGGGGGCAGGGAAGTGTGTAAGCAAGTTATAAAAAAAAAAAAAAAAAAAAAGAGAGAGAAAACGCATAAACTATGCACACAGATCTCTCAGCCGAAGCCTTATACTTAGCGAATTTGCGCAAATCAAGCAAAGCACAACAAAGAATCGCTGAAGTTCTACAACTATTCAAGCCTTGACAAGCTAAACAAAGTAGAATACAACATGCATCCGAAGACCTATACAAGTTAAGAAAGATACATATAACAGGCATGCTTAAGATGAAGCTACACACTAAGAGGGATTTTTCACAAGCTGAAGAACCTAAGTGTCGAAGCTCTATACTTGGAAAATTTCAAGCAAACCAAAGCATGAAAAAGGCTAATACAGGTAATGAAATGCAGAAGAATCAAAAACTTACTGAGGGCCCAAACAGTTCTTCAGTGTCTTCCTCGTCGGAAGCTTCCTCTTCTCTCGGTGCAGAGGATGAAGCTAGAGGAGCAATTCCACCACGAGAAGTAGCAGCAGCAATAGTTGCAGCATCCTGTTCTTCGGCTGAATGCAGGAAGAAAGGATCGACCTTCTTGTACCAGTCTTTCTACGCCAGATACTCGAAGGCGCTCACAACCTCGAACCTTCTCTACTGAAGGGCAAGAGCCCGGTTCTTAGATTCGGTGATAGGAGGGGTATTTGTAAAAGGCTCCCTCTCTCGGCTGATCCCAAGCACCTCGTAGTTGATGCCTGAGTTTTCCTCGCAAATCTTTGCAGTAAGATCCGAAAAATAGAATTAGTGCGGCAATAAACGGCTGAAGAAAGTTAAAAGACAGAAAGAATAAAAGCAATTAGTCTCGGCCTCAGCCAAGTCACTTACCACCTTGGTATCTTCGGCTGAGGCCGATGACAGCCAACGTCTTCTCTTGAAAGATGTAATGGCAGCAAGGGAGCCAGGTGCTCGGCACGTTAGCCATTCGGCCTATAGTTCCAGCAACAACGGTCCTGCTGAACATATCCATCTGTTGCTAATCGGCTTCAGTGAACTCATCGAGGCCGATGCTAGACATTGAAGGGTTAGGCTTCCTCGTATAACGAGGACCCCCGAAGAAGTTAGGGTGACCTTCATCCGAAGGAGCTCGCACCCAAATCCACTGGCCTTGCCAGTCCTTATCCGAGGTGTCGTTCGGATACGAGGTCAGATAGCCCTTTTCGTTCTCTATCTGCCACCAACCTAGGCCGTGCCACTTATTAGATTAGGCATTTGACGCGAGCCTGTGAATACACCTAAAGCAATGTACGCTCGGCTCGAAGCCATAAAACTAGCAAACCCATAAATAAGTCATCATTCTTCGGATACTAACAGGCGTGAGCTGCGCCAAAGAAATATTGTACCCGTTCAGCACCTTGATGACGAAAGAATGGCAGGGAAATCTTAGCCCATATTGCAGTTGCCTGGTATAGACCCCAATATATCCAGGAGGCGGCCGAGAGATACTTTCTTCGGTAGTGGGCATTCGGCACCAATACCCATCTTCCTCTTTGATGTCGTAGTATACCTCCAGCTGTTTGGCAAAGCAATAACGGCCATCATTTTCGATCCACCAAGAGTAGGGCTTAGCGTTCGCTAGACCCTCGGTCTCATAAGCATCGGTCCACTCCCGTTCCTCGGGAGTCAACGGCCTTGACGCCGAAGGCTCTCTTCAGCCTGAGGTACTGGCTTCAGCTGAGCTAGAAGGGGGTGTGCTGGATAGCGGCATAACTCTCAAACCCTCGCCGCTTGAAACGGCGACAACCCCAGAACTCGTATTAGGGTTCTGCTCGCTCAGAAAGGGCATCATGGCCAAGGGGCGATTCCGCTTCAGCACTAGCTGAGGCATTTCCTCCTCCTCGCCCTCAGACTCGGGCTCTCGCTGAGCTGGCCTTTTACTTCGGCTTCTAGCCATAATTTAAAGGAGAAAATCGGGAAATGCGAAAAAAGGGGAACACTTCGAAAAGCAAAGAAAACCGAAGCGAATTACTAGAAAATTACCTTCTTCTGACTCAGAATTCGTCGATCCACAAGTTCGGAAAGTGGGATTTTGAGTTCAAGGCTTCGGATTGAGAGAAATGATAAGTGGCATTTATGCCACTATTTAGATCCTCTAATCGCGGTATTTTTCTACGTTTGTCCCTTGTTTGTACCCCTTTTGCTCCGTTTCTCTCTTTATTATGTTTTTGTGCTTTTCCTCGTGTTTTGTAGGCTTTTGGAGTTGATTTTGAGAGAATGAAGAGCTTGGAGAATTGGAGTTCATTTGAAGAGCTACAAAGGAAGTTAAGGAGCAAGCAAGCAAGGCCATGCGGACAGCGCGGGTCGCGCTTTCAGAATTGCGCGGGCGCGCCAAACC